CCTTTCCCTTGGCTGTCGAGAATACCCTCGGGCCTTCGGCGGGGTTTCACCTCTCCCAGGTACCTAACCCCATGGCTTTTTAAATGCCAGAACCAATCAATTAAATTTCATACATAAATTATCAATTAAATTTCAATAAAAAAATTGATTGACGCCCTAGCTTCACATCGTCGAGCTGTCTGCATAAATTGATAAACAGGGTCAAACCAAGTTGGATCCGGGACACTGAAGAAGGAAGGTGTGCTCTGATTTCGGGAACGAGACAGAATATGATTGGTTGGCGTAATGGCTCAATTACGTTTCTGAATATGCATGTTTACTGTTTACTTCGGTCGTCCAGGATTTGGCTTGGTTTCCGTATGCAGCAGTGACAAACTTATCTCCCCAACCGTGGTTTGTTCATATTTATCTTAAAATTATACAATCCAAAAAAAAAGAAACGCATAGCCGTTTTGTATTTTTAAATCTATTAATTACTTATTGTGTTCAAACAATCGTCAAGATATGTTAGTCTGAGCACGATATCACGGCTTGCAGCTCATTACAACCAAACAGGTATAACAAATAACCGTCCCCGTACAGGCAGACCTCGAGTCACCACTGTAGCCCAAGATCGGTACATCCGGGTACTACATTTACTACATTTCGCAACAGATGTCTGGGTTATGCGTTTCTTTTTTAATAGTATGTTAGGTTTAAAATGCATTTTATTGCTTAAAAGTAGACTAAAATAAAATGAATTAAAACCATTGCCATCTGTCTTGTCATAGAGTTTCCAGCTGCTAATGTTAGTGGTTTTGGGTGTGTAGCAAATATATACTATTAGGCACTTGGTTATATTTGATTATTAGGTTAGAGGTCCCTTTCAGTTCGATATAAGAGTACAAGTCAAAACATTGATAACACAATAGTCTCGTTTCCTGCTGACTGGGTTCCGTCCTATTACGCAAGTTAGTACAATAACCAGTCCAGAATTTTGAAACAAATTCATTCAACTGGATACATAAATATTTATCAGTATTATTTGATACATCTAAGCACTTGTATGTTGCAACTACACGCTCCTTCTTATCCACGCAAACACGTCGAACAGCGTGATTTGTCGCACAACGTACTCTGACAAACGAAAATCTGGAAATCTCAAAACGAGGCTCTGTCGCTAGAAAAGTTTGGCGGTCTGGTACGGACTTGATATTGTAGCAATCACATTGTGCGTTACAAAACTACATTGAATAAGCGCCAAAAACACACAACAGGTGTAACCAGTGAGCCAGATGAATTGTGAATCATTTTACGACCTCATCAAACAGGGGCAGTCTGTGACGTCTAAGTTAAGGTCATGCTGCCTACACCTCGCCATAACATATAGAAATACGATGTTATTAAGAATAAAATTAAAATTCATTTGTAAATATCATTTTCTTATGAAACAAGGAACTGGAATTCAGTGTAACCATAGTTGTTTGTGTTGTCTCTTTTCACTTTCACACGAAAACATTTGGATCGACTGAAAAGTAGATCATTGTCTGAATAGGTTAATGAAACTCATGTTTCGGTTTGATTCCTGTATGTCAGCACAGATAACAACTCACCATTCCATTCAGCCTGGTTCTGCCAGTCTATCATGCTTCCGGCTACGCATCATAACAGTATGGAGAGGAGCGCTAGCGCTAATTTGCAGGCAAACTAGTCAAAGAAACGGAACAACTGAGTGACGTTCTGTGAAAATATCAGCTCAGCGTCAATGAATTCCCGAATCTCGTTGTAGCGTCCGCAAATATTCAATGACGTCACCACTGCAGCCCAAGATACATCCGGTACTAAATTTACTACATTTCGCAACAGATGTCTGGGTTATGCGTTTCTTTTTAAAAATAGTATAATAGGTTTAAAATGTGTTTACAAATTTATTGCTTAAAAGAAGACTAAAATAAAATTAATTAAAACCATTGCCATTTTTCTTGTATTAGTAAAGTTTCCAGCTACTAATGTTAGTGGTTTTGGTGTGTGGCAAACATATACTATTAGGCACTTTGTTATATTTGATTATGACTTCAAATATATTCAAATTCATCTAAAACGTAATTGAGGTACAGCAACGGTTTAACATTACGCTGGCTCAGAAGTATTGTCTCGCTCTGGAAACGGGATGAAACTTAACCTATTTATCCCCCGACCCTAATTCTCGGCTTCTCGTTAATTAATTTCAAAAGTAAACTCGTTCTTCATACCTAACCACCTCGTCACAGAACAGCAAATCACATAAGGCGACAACTGGTAACTTGGCAGTAGGTTTACATGTACAGTTGTCAACGGATGCTATAGAAGTAATGGGCATTTGAGATGGATTTCTACTTGTGATATTAATAAACAGGTAAAATATATTACCGTATTTTTTATTGTTGTACTCTATTCAGGGCGATGATCTCATGACCACATGACTACACGAATACATGACCACGTGACAACACGAATACATGGTCATGTGACCACATGAATACACGATTACATGGCCACGTGACCACGTGACAACACGAATACATGGCCATATGACCACATGACTACACAGGGCCAGATCAAGGAGGTGAGGTGAAATTGGGTTTAACGTCGTGCTTGTGAATATTTCGCTCATATGACGACGCGTATGCGTGTGTATGTCTATGTGCGGCAGCTTGTACTAGCCCAGACTGAAGCTGGTTTTATAGTCGTGCTTGTGAATATTTCGCTCATATAGTGCTAGCCCACTGAGATACCATGCCCCAGTGAAGCATGAATACCCCACTCAGACACATTATACTGACTCCGAGCCGACCAGTCGTTGTACCCATTAATGTCGAGCGCCAGGCAGGGACCAACAAGTACCATATTTTAACGTCTTTTGGTATGAAGCGGTCGGTGATCGAACCCGCGACCTTCCGCTCTCCGGGCGGACGCTCTAACCACTACACCACGGAGGCGGTCCCAGATCAAGGAGAAGTAGGGTGTACATATATCATCAAGTCCAAAGGTTAGGGGGAAATGCTCCTCAGGAATTTTGTTTTTCGGGGAAAAGTACACAAATACATGACCACGTGACTATGGTTTAACGCCACTCTTAGCAATATTCCAGCAATATCGCGGCGGGGGACACAAGAAATGGGCTTTACATATTGTACCCGTGTGGGGAATCGAACCCGGGTCTTCGACGTCACGAGCGACCGCTTTACCCACTAGGCTACCCCACCGCCCCTGAACGAAACGAGGTTAGAGGTTCCTTTGAGTTCGATATAAGCGTAGTTTCCTGTATGTCAGCACAGATAACAACTCACCATTCCATTCAGCCTGGTTCTGCCAGTCTATCATGCTTCCGGCTTCGCATCATAACAGTATGGAGAGGAGCGCTAGTGCTCATTTGCAGGCAAACCAGTCAAAGCCACGGAACAACTGAGTGACGTTCTGTGAAAATATCAGCTCAGCGTCAATGAATCTCGTTGTAGCGTCCGGAAATATTCAATGACGTCAGCACTCTGCTTATTCCGTTTAGTACATTCTATCTGCGACATGATTCCTTTGATGACTACCGCAATACTGTTATCCCGACGCCGCATAACGGGTGGTACGCTGTTATCCGTGTTTCTGAAGCGGATATACCGCAAAACACGTGCAGTGCGCACGTGCCCATTAGGAAGTCCTTTTGTCTTTATCCAATCACCTGCTCGTCGGTCCTGGATTTCATTGCGACTTGGAAAGGGTTTCTTGTCTCTTTTTCAGGTTGGAGAATTTCGATGAAAAATAAAATGGGTATTAAATACAAAAACACAAGCGTCTTGTCAGCCTTGACTGTCGAGGCAAGATAAACTGACACGTAATGGCGACTGATTGGTTACGGTCGTCCGTATCGCAAGTTAAAAACGCGAAAAGGGGTGTCACGACAAGTGACTAACCCAGTCACATTTGATTGAGATTTGACAATATAATAAATGATAACTTCGAAATTCCATTCAAAAACAAAATATAATAATTTCAGTTATTTTCATCAGAATTAGTAACTTGGGTTGTGGTAGCAGTAGTTGTGGTGGTGGTAGTAGTAGTAGTAGTAGTAGTAGTAGTAGTAGTAGTAGTAGTAGTAGTAGTTGTGAATAAGTGAGTGAGTTTAGTTTTACGCCGCACTCAGCAATATTGCAGCTATATGGCGGCGGTCTGTAAATAATCGAGTCTGGACCAAACAATCCAGTGATCAACAGCATGGGCATCGACCTACGCAATTGGGAACCGATGACATGTGTCAACCAAGTCAGCGAGCCTGACCACCCGATCCCGTTAGTCGCCTCTTACGACAAGCATAGTCGCCATTTGTGGCAAGCATGGGATGCTGATCATGAAGACCTATTCTACCCCGGATCTTCACGGGTCAGTATTAGTATTAGCATTAGTAGTATTAGTATTATTATTATTATTATTATTATTATTAGTAGTAGTAGTAGTAGTAGTAGTAGTAGTAGTAGTAGTAGTTGCAGTCGTAGTAGTAGTAGAAGCTGAGGTAGAAGTAGTAGTAGAAAAGTAGTAGTAGTAGAACAGCAGCAGTTGTAGTGGTAGACAAGAAATCATCATCATCATCGTCACCGTTGCCGTCATCATCATCAACAACAACTTCAGTCGTATCATCAATGGGATTAAGAGTACAGTTGTTCCCATACCGTACACATCGTAGAAGTAAACACCTCGACCCGGATATTCCTCACCGGAACGACTATAGGGCACACACTTTATTGTCAAACGCAATGAATACGTAGTATGTATATATGTAAGAGCACCATGGGGTAGAGCGCCGCTTCATTGAGTGCTTAACATCCTTGACCACTTACAACCCCTTCCCTTTGTGACAGAGACGTTCTTCTGATAGATTGCTCTGACGCGGAAGGCGATGAAAAACAACCGCGATTCCGTGCTCTGATTGGTCAATTCTTCAAACACGTGTGTCAACAGCTTTATGACGTCAGCCCATCCCTTTCGTTTCTTTAAATATAACGATTTCTCTGTGTATGTATATTCTGCCTATGGTGATGTAAAGTAAATCTGGTGGACATTCATCAACGTCAATGGAAATGGTAAGTGTATATTTCTCTAATATTGCATAAAGTTAAATTATCATTAATGATTGTTAATATAATGACGGTCGCCTTTGATAGCCGGGTACTCATTCCCTAATTGCCTACAATATAACGACAGAATGGGGCGCATGTAGCCTAGTAGACAAATGCTTAGTCTCTGAGTATATATAATTTTGATAGTGACAAATAAACCCATTTAAATTAAAAAGGGGCCCCAGGGAGACCAGAGATTCAGCAGCCAGGGGAAATCTAGACTTGTTTCATGTAGGGTTTTAGCATTGCAGGTAGGGCTAGGCAGTAGGGGAAATAATTTGGTTCAGGGACTGTGAGACGGACTAGTAGCCTAAAAGTACTGTCGGAAATGCTAGAAAAATGCTTTTTAGCCTTAATATCTTTAGAAAGGTGATAAATGTATTATGTTGTGAATATATCAACTCACCTTTTGTGTACCTAATTTTTATTTCAATTGATTTAACATTCCCATGCATTTAAAGGGCAGTTTACAGGAGAGAATTTGGTACCCAAACAACAACTTAAGATTTTTTCAGAGTTCAACAACAGAAATCTGAAATAGTCTTTACATTTATGCTAATAATACAGGTGGTGTAAAAATATAAATTAACGTTTTTCAACAAATAAATGTTGAATGCTGTGTTACTTTACATAATTATCGTTTCTTTATTGAATAAATATTAATATAAATGTTAAGTCTTGATAAATACGTTTCCGTCATGCAAGCACATCTTTATCACAGCGTCCACTATAGCCAACTATTTGCAAACGATTGTTGCAAAGGTTTATACGTTTTTTGTTCTTGAAAAAAGACAGAGGTAAACCTTTCATTAGTATAGAAATGGTTTATTTCAGAACTTGTAGAGTTGTTGGTATGTCTTACCAACAAGTTTACAATATTGTGAACAAATCAGACAAGACAGGGACCGTCTCAAAAGCAAAACCGGGACGTAAAACCATCCTTGAGAACTTTGACAAGGGAGTACTTAGACGGGCGGTCTACAAACTTTAGGAGAAGAAGAATATATATATTCTAAAGAAGCTACACCAGCGACTTCGTTAAATTTTTGGCCAATGTTCACAACTAGATTAAACTGACCGAATTACATCCATATTTTTGCAATGTAATATACTGTTGACATGCAAAACATTTATTTAAACGTTGCACATTTCTACAATCAATCGATAAGATAACACAAGTGATAGGATTCTTTCCAATGTACAGTAATTCGTATGTTTATTTCACAACAAACACACATACACAAATGATCCCTTACATAACCAATACGTATACTATACGTACACATATTCAACATTTTGAAGAAAACATCTATTAAGATGACCCCTCGCCCGAGCGTGTGCTCAGGTGTCAATTTCACCTGTCGATACCGTGCATGCTGATGACGTAACACAGGCAGTTAATGTTTGTATCAAATAACGTCCCACTACCCCTTATTTTTATAAGTTTTTGGTATTTTCATCAGTAAAAACGCATTATAGGGCATGTCTCAAAATTTTTTCCCTCGGTCTACATTAGGTAGATGGCAAAGTGATCAAGCTGTAATTTGAATTTTAAATATAAGTCAAAAGCATTTTCTAGCATTTCCGACAGTACTTTAGTTGTCAAGGGGCTGCAATTCGCTCTACAGAGTTCCGTCTCTTGCACATGCCTGTAATTATGGGTTCGCATCCCAGTTTCATCTGATTATGTTTCCAGGTTTATCAGCACCACATCATTGCTCGTAGGTTTCCCCAGGGCCAAAAGGTCTAAAACTCGCATAACTTCGGGGTTTCTTCCTCCATTAAGCATACACGCTTCTAGAATAATGATTAAAAGACGTTAACTCACTCGCTGTTTGTAAACATGTTCAGGCCCAATGGTTTTGGCTATTTCATTCATAATGTAACCACACAAACCACCAAAGAATTAATCTTTCCTAAGATGTCTTATTTTTTCTATCCTAACTCGATGCTTTTTTGTCCGGAAAATCGGGTGAACTTAGATTTGTGATTGCGTCAAATAAGTGAGTGAGTGAGTTTAGTTTTACGCCGCTTTTAGCAATATTCCAGAAATACCACGGCGGGGAACACGAGAAATGGGCTTCACACATTATACCCATGGCGGGGAATCGAACCCGGTCTTCAGCGTGACGAGCGAACGCATTAACCACTGAGCTACCCCACCGCCCCGCGTCAAATGATAAAAATTAATGACTGATCCTCCTATTTTTTTCTTTTTAGGAAATACAGTTAATTTGATACTAATATGAAATTCTGTCATTGTGCTTTTAATTCTATTGACTGTCATCTGACTTTCAGATCGGAAGACAGGAATCATTCATGCGCCTAGCACTGGTCGTGCTTGTTGTTGCAGCCAGTGCCCAGTCAGCCCTGTTAAACCGCAATATGAAACTTCTGCGCAGTCGCCTGGGCGAAGTACTTCCGCTTGGCCTGACCTTGTCCGGGGAAGTCATCCAATCAAATCGCATCTCTCTGCAGCAGGTTCGGGCCCCAGCAACTACTGAAGCTTCCACAGACTTCTGCCTCTCTACATTTTGTGTTTCTCCGAGAAGGTGTCGGGATATGGTTGTGGACAGAGCTTCGTGTATTAATGACTGTTTGGAAACCTGCTATGCTTTGATACAACGGAAGTGACGTTTTAACGTTGTATTGAGTTGTAGGTTGTATTTGTTTGTTGTATTACGACTCACGCATCTATATGAAGATTTTCTGTAAATAATGTTTGGTGGTATTATTGTATTGTATATTACAGCTATATATGGCGGCGGTCTGTAAATAATCGAGTCTGGACCAGACAATCCAGTGTTCAATAACATGAGCATCGATCTAGGCAACTGGAATACGATGACATGTGTCAATCAAGTCCGCGAGCCTGACCACCCGATCCCGTTAGTCGCATCTTACGACAAACATAGGTTGCTGAAGACCAGTTCTAACTCTGATATTCATAGGTCAGGTTGGTTGAGACTGTGACTCAGCACTAATGCGGCTAAAGCCCACGAATCTGAGGTGTGCTGGTATGCAAACAGTTAACAAATCTCGAGAGAGTGAATTTAGTTTTACGCCGCTTTTAGCAATATTCCAGCAATATCACGGCGGGGGAGACCAGAAATGGGCTTCACACATTGTACCAATGTAGGGAATGGAAACCGGTCTTCGGCGTGACGAGCGAACGCTTTAACCACTAGGCTACCCCACCGTCCCACAAATCTCGACCATCGATACATTCAGTATCGCCCCACCCCTCCGGAATCCTCACTGTGATATAGGTTGTGATTAAGATCTCGAGTAAACACATTAAATTTTTATCACAGTAATAATTGAAGTATTAATCATATTTATTTCCCCATGATGTGTGCTTTTATCCATTTAAAACAAATCCCTTCATAATAAAGCATTTGAAGAACACACACACGTGCATGTATCATGTTTGTTTTTTGTTTACCGCCGCACTCAGCAATATTACAACTATATGACGGCTGTCTGCAAACAATCGAGTCTTGACCAGACAAACCAGTGATCAACAATATGAGCATCAATCTACGAAATTCGGATGCAATCACATCAGCCAAGTCAGCAAGTCTGACTACCAATCAATTCTAACCCGGGTCTTCATGGGTTCATTTATTTACAATTTTGCTCAGTGACCTGGCTCAGCATCAGCTGCAGGAGCATCAGCACGACGTCGTCATTATGGTTTAACATCCGGAACTTCATGGCGTAGGAACACGAAAGACCTGGGGTCAGTCTTTGGCACTGGCACACTGCGTGGAGCCCATATGATTCGTGTCAATCAAGTGAGTGAGTGAGTGATTATGTTTTTTTTACGCCGCTTTTCGCAATATTCCAGCAATATCACGGCGGGGGACACCAGAAATGGGCTTCACATACTGTACACATGTGGGGAATCGAACCCGGGTCTTCAGCGTGACGAGCGAACGCTTTATTCACAAGACTACCTCAAGACACATGACACACGAAAGACCTGGGTTCAATCTTTGGCACCGGAACACTGCGTGCAGCCAATGCTTCGTGTCCTAGGAATATTGCTAAATCCATATCCATATACATGTACACTGAATTTCACATTCATCAATAGCTTTGGAAATGGCGTTCTTAGTATGAGTCCAAATGCCCAAGTTGTTAATTTGCACTCTGGATTGTGCATGCTTACACGATGCACCAGTATCATCCGAGTTTAGATAAACAACTTAAAAAAACCCAATCCAAAACAACAACATAATATTTATAAATACGTAAATAAAAATGAAAAAAAAAGTAAAGTAATGTGAATCGAAGCTAAAAATTAGATCTAGCCACCAACTGATGTCAGTCAGATTCGATTTCATAACTAGGAACAGGCTCACCCCTTTAAAACTGAATAAGAAGAAGATTAAGTAGGATTTGGCTTCCATCTTGTCCTCGGAAGCTGCTCAAAGATTGAGATATTTTACAGGCGCTTCGGCACGTTGACGCGTGAGCGAACGATTCTCTGGCCACCACAGTTGTATATAATTACATCTGTCACAGCTGTTTACAGCTGTAGCTTCCCAGTGGTATGTCTCTGGCTGTGAACATGGTCCAGTATGGATGGTCGAAGCTTCATTGATACTCTCGAATGCCGATATATTTGTTTCACAATAAGAGGTGTGTGTAGAAAAAAGAAAGAAAATGTACAACACGTAAAACGATTGACGAAACAATTCTGCAATGTGATGGACTTAATACGATACAGTAACATCAGTTGATCGGTGAGGATCGCTATAGTTAAATATAGCACATATAAACACATGCTCAAATAATCCGACTAAGGCAAGGTAGCCTCCCGTTTGTTACAATTGTAACATAGTTGAATAATATATTTGAAAATAGTGTAATTGTGTTTTATATAAAATATACAGCTCGTGAAAGAATAACGTATTAAAAATATATGTACCTTACATGTCAATCGTCTATTGTTTTACCCTCTACAATGAATACGTACACCCAATGTGTCTATTGTGCTTGATAAGCATTACCAATTCTATGATCAGTAAGGTTGGTCGGTTGGTTTGTTGTTTAACGCCGCACTTCGCAGTATTCCAGCTATAATTGTATTGGACCGCCCACATCAGATTCATTCTTGGCATTGGATCGGTCAGATCAACTTTGTCCCAGGACATTCCTGGAATTGGACCAAGATTTCTAGTGTGTAGACGATTCTACCCAATTCGTCTCCCTGCGCCCCTTCCGTTACCTCCAAAGAGACCATTTGGTGTGTCCCGAAATACCACTGAGTTCGCCACGAATGCTTCTATCCCCGGTCAACAAACACCCAGGAAGAGTCTTTCCATTCGTGACCAACTCGTGTTATTCAGGACAAACCGAATAGCGACTCTTGCCCTCTGGAAGGATTTCATATTGGCGCATGAACATCAGAACTTCTTTAAACAGGAACGATAACTCTATTCCTGTTTGATGTCAATGGTACTTAATATCACCGAAGTACTGTTTTGGTTTTTGCTTATTTATTCTAAAGAATTAAACCTCCTTGATACATCTAAAAGAAGGAAAAACATATTTGTTAAAGACATATTCTGACATAATTATTACCAGATGTTCACCATATATTTTAAATTATATTTCTGAAAAGAGTTTAATAACCACAAATGGGATTTGTTTTATTAAATACGCAAATACAATTTATATAAAAACTCAGCTACATTAAATCCCAAAGCAGAAAATCAAAAATGAGTTTAGAATATTTCTCAAACTGAACATACGTGTAACCTTGCTGTCATACCCCAAGTGGAATTGTAAATGAATTCGCTGAAAAATATATGAATGACCTAAATACGGTCAGACTTCATATTCCCAGAGATAAGAAATATATGCCCAATGTTAAAGATTAAAGTTGATTAGTTACATACAGGTATAATATTATTGTTTTGAAACTCGTAGCGAGTTATATTTACATTAACTGTTGAAAGCGCACGTACAATCACGACAACAAACCCGCAAGATCGCCAGAAATACACTCAGTTGAACCCATGAGAGTCGTTATGTCAACAAACGCACGTGCGTGTATTTGAATCACTCACCGTCAATCGTATGATTCTTATCAAAAACTTCACAGTAGACAGCACAATTCTGTTAGCTACGTTCTTAATACTTTCAACATGACGATAAGTATTTTTCGTCATTTTTAAAACAATAACATAATGCCATAAACGATTTAAGTAGTCGGGATTATTTTTATCAAAGCACCGCAACCATTACGCGCGTTCTGCTTGGTTTGTCGTATTTTCGCACATAACAAGCATCGAGAGGGGGACGATTCTTCTTGGGGTTACGGAAAGGGGCGAGTGGTGACGAATGGAGTCATTCGTGACCACCTCGTGTTTTCCCGAATACCGACTCGTGCCCCTCATTCGTGTTATTCCGGGACAAGCCGAACAGCTCCTTGGAGATGCGTGTGGTGACGAACGGGGGAGAGTATTATCCCTCTGCTTGTGTAGACGGTCTTATCAATAATCACCAAGGAGAGGATTTTTTTTCAATTAACGTTGCTATTTACGCATCCTTCAATTTCATAAAGCTGACAAACGTCTCAGAGGGACAGCCCGAACCCTCTCTGGATTAAGCGAGTTCTTTAGCAATATTCCAGCAATACCACGGTGAGGGACACCAGAAATGGGCTTCGGACATTGTACCCATGTGGGGAATCGAACCAGGGTCTTCAGCGTGACCAGCGAACGTTTTAACCACTAGTTAGTTTTACGTCGCTTTTAGCAATATTCCATTAATATCATGACAGGGGACACAAGAAATGGGCTTCACACATTGTACCCATGTGGGGAATTGAACCCGGGTCTTCAGCGTGACGAGCGAACGCTTTAACCACTAGGCTACCCCACCGCCCTCTGGAAGTGGATCATCACGCGGAGAGGGATGTTATCATAATTAACAAAGTGATTTTAATGAGAGAGCATTAGAGCCGGTGACTTGCAACCAGAACAATCCCACACTGTTCCCGCGATCCGTTTTCGACATGCATGGTTGGATCTATTCTTCTCTGCATTTTTGTCCATGATAATCATATCTTCACCTGACATGATCCGGCGAATTCAAATAGTCTTCTTAACGGTAATGTCTCTTCTGCATATCAATTATTCATTCATATGACCAAAAGTTTTTTGTTCACATGTAACTAAAATTGTAAGCAGCATTTTAGAAGCTGCGCGATCATAAAGGACAGAGATGTCGGATATGTTTCAAACTTTTTAGTAGTTTTTATGAGACGCTTCGGTACAAATAGAAGTCTTTGTATGTCTACCGAAATTATTCATTGTAAGAATAAAGAAGCTGAAATCCATATGTCATCGCTTGTTATCACAAATGAAAAACAAACAGATAATAAATGCTTTTAGTCTTTTGTGTTTAGGAAGGTATTGCCAGACTCAAGTATTGATTCGTCTTGTACAAATGTTTACCTAAGGAAGTGCGTTTTGTGCATTATTGCTGTATCATTATTAATTCCTTAGGCATGAGAGCAGCATTCATTAATGGGGAAGAACAGAAAATATTAAAGAATGGAAGTAGAATGGAAGATTGTAAAATGGATTGGATATTTTCAGCTGCACTTTAAATACGATCCATGTTCATAGGCGGATCAGGTATTTTCAAAGGGAGTTCGGGGAGGGTTCGTTCGATTATTGTGTGTGGGGGTTCAGGGGTTAACTTCAGTGTGATCTTTAGTCACTTTCAAAAGTTGGGTAGGTGGGGGATGTGGTGAAAAGGTGGGGTCGATGTCAGTCACTATATATAGTCTGGTCCGGACGTGATTATTAACAGACCGCCATCATATGACTGATACAATACTGAGCTAGAGCAATCAGTTTAAATGTAACTTGTCAGATTGTAATTGAAAACTTGAATGTGTTTTCTGATCATGCAACCTCGAAAAGGTTAACTTGGGATGTTCCAAACGACAATCACAAGCTGCACGACCTGAGACTAGTGGACAATCGAAAGGTCGGCGTCGTGAGACGACACCCGACATATCCCTCTCTGTCTTTTGTGACCCGCACCTGTTGGACAAGCCGGATATCACGAAACTCGTGCAACTCTGGAAGGACTACTTCAAACAAGAACGATAACTCTATGTCTGTTTAATTCCAACAGTATTTCCAACATTACTGACGTACTCGAAAATGTTTTTGTTTCAAACTGATTTTGATCTGTTTTAATAAGGCTAGATGATAACTTAAAACAATCTTGGTTCTCATCAATTAGTGAATCTCCTAAATGTATATTTTACAAGGTGTTCCAAACTTTGTTAAATGTTAAAAAATATTTGTGTTGTGATGTCCAAATGCATTTAAGAATTGCTATATCAAGTTTTAGATGCAGTAATTTCAATACGGCTGTTAAATGTGGCAGGTATAATGGAACTGAATATAACGAAAGACTATGCACTTTTGTGTAAACCAGACGCCAGAATTATATAGAAAATGAATATCATGTACTATTTATTTGTAATGCCTATGATATACTTAGAACTGGATATATGACAAAGTTCACTAAAGAACCACTTACTCATTACTCTGTCGTAAATCTTTTGCAAAACAAAAATGATGCTGTCATATACAATGTTGGCCTATACTTATATCATGTACAGAAATTGATATGACATAGAATAGAAATTGATAAACTCCAGGACATATTTCAGAGAAAGTGCAAATTATGTGTGTTAAATGACATTGCAGATGAATATAATTATTTCTTTAACTGTTGGTATTTTAATGATTTACGAAGAACAAATAACGGCAGTGTTTTTACTTATTGTCCATGTGTATCGAAAATGATTTGTATATTTCACACTAAGAATATATTTTAAGAGAATGTCTACCTCTTGTCGCTCCCATTGTTACATTTTGTCGCTCCCAAGGATAAATACTGTCGCCATTGTATACTATACTGCACCACAAAAGAAATGTCGCACTTTAATGCACTCTAATTAACAATCAAAACGAAGGATTGAGTTCAAACTTGACAATTCTGGTTAACACATTTTCGGGAATCACATGTAGAGTTCACAAAACAAAATCACCCAAAATGGTACCATTAAGATACCCCAAAGTCAGTATTGTGTGTGGAATCTGTGGACATCGATGACAGCATTGCATCGTCTGTACATGGAATGAATCGGCCGGTCGATGAAGGCCATAGGCTCTTGGCTCCATACTCTGCGAAATGCCTGATCGAGTCCAGCCGCAGTTGTCGGCCTTGGTTGGAGGGGACATTCAGTCTTCTTTGAATCTCGTCCCAAAGGTGTTCTATTGGACTTAAATCTGGACTAAGTGCAGGCTATTGTGTGGTTTGGATGCAATGATCTCTTAGGAAGTCAAATGTTGCTCTGGCAGTGTGGGCACGAGCGTTGTCTTGCTCAAAGATGTGATTTCTGTAGTATCCAAGTAGTGTTACAACGTGGGGTCCTATGACTTGGTCAATATAGCGAGCAGCTGTCACTTCATTTCTTCATCCTGGACCAAGATTCTGGAACACCAGGGTGTCAACTAACTGGTTCAGACCGATTGCACCCCACACCATGATGTTTGGACTACCCCACGAGTCTATTTCAACAATACACCCCTTGCCTTCTCCATACTCTCACTCTGCCATCGACTGTCGAAACACAACATCGGCTTTCATGAGATAAAAGCACAGTTCTCCATTGTCGATAACGCCAATTTCGATGCTGACTTTCCCATTGCAGTTGGTTTTGGCGGTGATGAGCGGTGAGGACAGGACTACGATATGGTCTGTGACAGCAGAGGTTCCTTCCACGCAAACGTCGACGCACTATATCGGCACTGATGGGTCTGTTGTGAGTCCCAATGGTCTGGCGTGCTATTTCCGTGGCTCTGGGGGAAGCGATCCTGCAGATGGTTACGCACAATCTGTCGGTCTTGACATTGTGATGTTACTGAAGGTCGCCCACTGCGTGGACGGTCTTGGATGCTGTTAGTGACCTGATACCACTCCTGCAGTCGGTAGATTGTCCTAACATGAACATTAAAATGATTGGCAGTCTGAACAACTTGCAATCGCCCAAAGACTTATTTCCTCGGATTTCTCGTAAAGTCGTGGCATGGTGATTGTGTCCCCAAAAAATTATTTCAGGAGAGTTTGGGACTCGTTTTCATTGGTAGGGTTGTCACGACATGCACGTGCATTTTCATTGTCACGAATGTCATACGGAACCTTTTACCATGTCTGCCTTTTTCCGTGCGCTTGGTCGATATGCTTTTTCATCAGAAAACACACTGATGTTGGTAAAAACTGTCAATTTGGATTGAAAAACATGTTAACAAAATGGTACAATCATAATAAAAACACCACCTTGTAAGAACAAAATTTTGCATTTGGTTTTGAAATGCGACGTTTATTTTGTGGTTCAGTATATATATATGTTACTCTACACCAAATCAGATTCCGTAGTTTAACAAGCTTTCAGTGCTCACAGAATCATCTGACAGCTGTGATTAAATGATTTTATGAAGGATTTTTATGTTTTAAATTTAATTCATCTGTCAATTAAAACTGACCTTACTTTTCAAAATTTAATTGTAACACCAATGACTTATGCTGAATGTGTATTTTCGAGTAGATGACATTTGGTGCGGAACTGGGATTGGTGTGTTCAACTTCCTCTACTCGGAAACGGTTACTGGCTAACCTAACACACACACGCACGCACGCACGCACGCACACACGCAGGAAAAATCTTTCCCGAGCTCTCGACACTTGTTTCTAGAAGGTCTTGTGAGATCTATATTGGTTACAGTGTCACTTTGAGAGTAATTCGTCACCACTCGCCCCTTTCGGTGACCTCCGAGACTCGTCCCCATTACTCTTCACCATTGGCTCCTTTCCGTAATCTCCAAAAAGACTCGTCCAAGTTATGATGTATGTTACCTTGCGAACACACAATACACCAGTCAGACAAAAGTAGTCACGAGCACTTCAGTTGGTTATGGCAGTATTTCATTTTATAAAAAAACCGTGAATATACATGTATGTATTGTCGTTTTGACATTTTTAAAACAAGCTTCATTAATCACAGGCACTCCCATCTGTTACATCACTGAGCAGGAAATATTGATAACACCATGATATATACTATTAGCAACTCCAATTGTAAACACGAGAAATGTACTAATTAAGAAAAGAAAAGTGGTCATACTCAGTGAATCCTAAAGAAACTTCCCAGACTTCGGAAGTTATTTATCAAAACTTTTAAACCAATCAGGTTCAGTCACACACACGTTCCCTTCATACCAACTGAGAGTGTTGGAAGTGTCATTGGACATGCACAGAAATTGATTGTTGTACACCCAGAAGGAGACAGCCACGGCAGTTACATTGATTGTGCAATCATCAAAGCTGGGTTTATAATTCAAGGCCTATCCCCAGCCAGGCAATACGACATTGACAACCAGCATATGAAGTTCTACAGTGGACGAGCTTCCAGTCCATTATTGGCACCATGATTCCACTGTTGGCAGCGTCGGTTATACTTAGGTAAGATGTCATATTCTTCCGATGGAGGTGTCACTGTACCCGTTGGTGTGGATTTTGGACCGTATGTATGTACGTACGTAGGTACGTATGTACGTACGTACGTATGTATGTATGTATGTATGTATCTGTGTATGTATGTATGTATGTATGTATCTGTGTATGTATGTATGTATGTATGTATGTATGTATGTATGTATGTATGTATGTATGTATGTATGTATGTATGTATGTATGTATGTGTGTATGTATGTATGTATGTATGTATGTATGTATGTGTGTATGTATGTATGTATGTATGTATGTGTGTATGTATGTATGTACGTATGTATGTATGTATGTATGTATGTATGTATGTATGTATGTATGTATGTATGTATGTATGTGTGTATGTATGTATGTGTGTATGTATGTAATGTATGTATGTGTGTATGTATGAATGTATGTACGTATGTATGTGTGTATGTTTGCATCTGTGCATGTATGTATGTATGTATGTATGTATGTATGTATGTATGTATGTGTATGTATGTATGTATGTGTATGTATGTATGTATGTATGTATGTATGTATGTATGTATGTATGTATGTATGTATGTATGTATGTATGTATGTATGTATGTATGTATGTATGTGTGTGTGTATGTGTGTATGTGTGTATGTATGTATGTATGTATGTATGTATGTATGTATGTATGTATGTATGTATGTATGTATGTATGTATGTGTGTATGTATGTATGTGTGTGTATGTATGTATGTATGTATGTGTGTATGTATGCATGTATGTATGTATGTATGTATGTATGTATGTATGTATGCATGTATGTATGTATGTATGTATGTATGTATGCATGTATGTATGTATGTACATAGATGTGTGTATGTATGTATGTATGTATATGTGTATGTATGTATGTATGTATGTATGTATGTATGTATGTATGTATGTATGTATGTATGTATGTATGTATGTATGTATGTATGTATGTATGTATGTATGTGTGTATGTATGTATGTATGTATGTGTGTATGTATGTATGTATGTATGTATGTATGTATGTATGTATGTATGTATGTATGTATGTATGTATGTATGTATGTATGTATGTATGTATGTATGTATGTATGTGTGTGTGTGTGTATGTATGTATGTGTATGTATGTATGTGTATGTATCAATGTATGTATGTATGTATGCAATACTGTATGTGTGTGTATGTGTGTGTGTTTGTATGTATGTGTTTATGTATGTATGTATGAAACCTTTCTGGCCTTCGTTTATTATGTCGGGTAATACTGTTTTAAATCTGTTGAAGGAGCTATCTTATAGACGACAGTTAATAATGATATCGGCCTCCAAGTTTTTAGATCCTGTCAACGCATATGCGTGGCTCAGTGGTTGAGGTGTTTGCTCGAAACGCCGCACACTCGTGTTCGATTCCCATGTGAAGCCGTGTACTCCTGCCGTAACGCTGCGAGAATATTGAAAATTGGCGTAAAACTACACTCACTCACATATGCGTGCTCGTAGCTTTCGCCAAACTGGTAAACGTCTAAGGCCTGCATAGCTTAGAGTTTTCTCTCCAACACCAACCTAAGACGCTTTATATTATAGTCAAACATTGTTCAAAACAGCATAAAACATTGTTAACTCACTGTTGTAATTCACTCTAGTACTCAAGCACCACCAGTACTTTGGAGTTCATGATATTCAAATACTTTACCTCTGCTTCTTTCATTCCTCAGCTCCATGATAGGAAGAACGTTGATGGCAGGGGCGGCCACAGGTACGTGTCCTGCACAACATTGCAACGTTCATTGTTGACACCCGCCTGGGGATTCTGTCTTAAACAAGGTTGCTTCCCGATGCTCATTATGTTGATCACTGGACTCGATCTGGTCTGGTCCAGACTGGATTATTTACAGACCGCCGTCATATAGCTGGAATATTGCTGTGTGCGGCGTAAAACAACAAGCAAACAAACGTACTGGTTATGAATAGAGTGTTAGAGTGAAGTGTATCTAGTGTTCGTCACCAAATGAAATGACTCCGTTCCTGAAGGCGTCAAATCTATGCCTAGACCATGCTGCTTGATGGGGAATCATTGTTTTTGAGTAGATACAACAACGCTGACACATAATGCATGAGAAATACAGTCTTCTATTGGTGCAATGTCCACTTTGATTTTCCTCGCGATGGAACCATCTACTGGTTAAAATTGCTACTATGTGTATATATCACGGAAGCAGTGTTACAAACCCGTAAAGTTTTGTATTTTTAATTATCTTTTTATTTCAGAAACCCCTGTTAAAAACTGGGGCTACAGCCCAGGGTAGCAGAAACCCCATTTTTAATTGCTCTGCAGATCGAACGATTTTCCCTATGTTCTTTCCCCTATGTTGTGGCCTTAAAATGTTTTTAGATATTGAACTGTGTCGGTTCTAATTCCAGATTGTGGATCTCATAAGAGGGATGTCCTTTTCATGGTCGACAATACAAGCATGAACAGATCGGAGTTCGCCATCCTGAAACAGGCGTTGGTTGATATAGTTGATACCTTCACGATCAGCCCCGATAACATCCAGGTTACTGTAACCACGTACCCTGACGTAGTGATGCTCCTATGGCTTTCGTTCCAGACTGACAAATCAAGATTAAAAGACAGAATTTTGAACCTTGACCCAAACTCCAAAAATCAACCCTTATCCCCTACGAAAGCAATTGATGTGGGAAGATATAATGCGTTTGGAGGAGGAGATCGGGCTGATGCGTCTAATGTTGCTCTTCTATTCGCCGGCAGTAAGCTGTACTTAACGGAAGAGGATGTCTCGAAAAGCGACCATTTGAAAGAGAACAAGAAGGTGGAATTGTTTTGTCTTGGAGTGAAGAATGCATATGTTTCTCAGCTGAATCAATTTGCAAGCCTTCCATCATCCGATCACGTGTTCTTCTCTGACACTTATTCCAACCTTGCGACCTTGGTTCCGGAACTTGCACAGATTGCATGTACGTCAAAATGTCATACTTCAGTTGTTTTAAGTTGCTAAACTCCCGATGTGTAGGGCTCCATTTTGACTAATTAACCTATTTGTTTGTTGTTTAGTGGCCTATTACTCACTCATTTAATACACATGACACTTATAACATATGGGGTGGCGGGGTAGCCTCTTGCTTACAGCATTCGTCATGCAGAAGACCCGGGTTCGATTCCCACATGCGTGGTGTGGCGAAGCTCTGTATATGCGATCAACAGATGTCAGATGGTGAAAGTGGAGTCCATGGCTTGTTTTTGTCGGATTATAACTACAGAGACTAAAAGAACGCCCTGAGGCGTCGCCTGAGAGTTAACGTTTTTGTTGTTAACGGTCATTAAGTTTATATTACATATTCACATAGAATTATTTCAGTTAAGTTTAATTACAATACCAGTGAATACGAGATCTCCTTCGGTATGTCCTCTCGATAATCAAAAGTTCACAGTCACGTAGAAATATGAGACAGATTATTGTACTTCCAGGTGCCAACTGTAGCATGACGCCATGTCAGGGGAGTCAGATCTGTGACCTATCGACGAACACGTGCATTGATCAAACCCCACTGGGTAAGAATGATAATAATAACCATAACGATTTCCATATCATCCGTAAATTTCCTGGTGGGTTCGACCAGGTAGCGCTTCCTGTGAGAAGTCCCATTCCCAGTCTGGCCTGCGTGTAGGGGTAAGAGTACCTGAGCTGATGATGAGCCTTACCAGCCTGACTTTGTCCGACCAGGGGCCGGTGGGGTAGCCTAGAGGTAAAGCGTTCGCTCGTCACGCCGAAGACCCGGGTTAGATTCCCCACATGGGTACAATGCGTGACGTCCATTTCTGGTGTCCCCCGCCGTGGTATTGCTGGAATATTGCTAAAAGCGGCTTAAAACCGTACTCCCTCGCCGTTCGTGTCCGACCACCCTTCGCTGCATTTATGTATTTGAACCTGTAAATACCACTCGTGAGGAGTCCACTAAGTCTCGGGGCCCGAACAGTGATCCACTGACCGCCTCATGTGACCAGCAACAGTTTCAGCGGGATGTACCAGTTCGGGAATAGTACTGTCAAATTCAGGACTATTATCGAGGCGAATATTGGAATCGAATATTATTTATAGGGACCCCTGGAATAAAGATGGAAATATTTTAATAAGCTAGCCTGATCTCAAACACTATATTTAATCCAATATCAACTTACTTCAGTGTTATTATATATTCATAATTTGTATCACTGATTTACCACGAATTGTAAAACTTTGTTTTAATAGGTCTAAATTCTGCTTTATTTTGTTCTATTTAAAAGTTACAGCCCCTAGGAAGGAGTGTCCCATGAATCTTTACGAGCGACAGTCTTATCGAATCAGTGGGTGCCCCATCGTCATGACAACCTTTGCGGAGTCACCTATTGTTTGCGCTGTTCACTGCTGTTCGACTGAAGGATGTACGAATTTCAATATGGCGCGGGAAGCAGACATCTTGAACAATTGCCAATTGCTGACATGCACGGATACAGACATGTTGTCGGAATCTGAACATCATGACTTCTACACACCAACTTGTGTTCCATAACGTCACAGTCACGTCACATTAATGTTACTAAAATATGGTATTGTTTGTGTCATTAACAGTATAATGGCAGGTCTATAAAATTAATATTGTTCGTCAAGTGATTTATTTATCCTTCTGAGATGCTTCGGTAAAGATCAAACGCTCTGTCTGTACTTTATACTTAAAAAAATGTACCCTTTTTGTAGTTACGTCCTAATTGGTTGACGTCACGAAGCTGCTCAATTACCTTCCCGTGATCTTCAAGCGTCCTCATGCTTTAACTATATTAGTTCAGGGGAAAACTATACTTTAGTACACTTCATACGGACATGATATAGATTTTATTATGAGACTATAAATGCACTGTCAATTCTTCTGTTTGCGGATGATGTCGCTATAGGGGAACGTTGTGAACCCACAGAAAAAGATAGATATCTTAGAACAGTATTGTACGAAATTGGGATTGTCAATAAATACAAATAAGACAAAGGTCATAGTTTTTATAAAAGATGGTAGAATAGCAGAAAGAGAAAAATGGTCATTTGGAACAGAGAAACTAGAAACTGTCTCCTGTTATAAGTATCTGGGATTAACGTTATCTTGTAGAAATGTATTCACAAAAGCTTGTGGTGTTTTGTGTAAGCAAGCAGAGAAAGCCATATTTCCCATTAAGAAATTCATGTACAGATATAAAACAATTCCGTTCGATATATTTTTCAAAATCTTTGACTGTAAAATCCAACCTATATTATTATATGGAGAAGAAATTTGGGGATATGTTATCCGCCATGGAATAGAAATTTTGTAAAAACGTTCTAAACGTTGGCTATCGCACATCGAACAAGGCAGTTTTAGCCGAATATGGAAGATACCCTTTACATGTAAATTATATGACACGAGTTGTTTCGTTCTGGAGACGTCTGCTTCGGCAACCAGACACACGTTACCCACGTCGCTCCTATGATATGTTGAAACGTTTAGACGACAATGGAGATATTAACTTCGGCAGTACGATCAATATTATTTCAACATGGATTTGCTTATGTATGGATATATCAAAATGTTGGAAACTGGGAATTGTTTTTAAATCTTTTCAAACAACGTTGTAAAGACATGTACTATCAAGAATGGACACAAGATATAAGTAACTCAAAATCACTGCATATGTATTCTGCCTTTAAATCTGATATTGTTCCGGAATTGTATTTGATCGAACTCTCTTCGTTACATCTGCGCTGAGTCTTAACAAAATTCAGATGCGGCTCCACCAATTTAAAAATAGTTTCGTATAGAAGATCTAAAGACAATGACATTAGTGTAGCTATGTATGATCATTGTAAAAATGTACCGGAAGATGAGTATCATGTGTTAATGAAATGTCCTTTATATGCAGCGGTAAGAACTCACTACATACCAAGTATCTATATTTTGAACCCAAATAAACAAAACTTTGTACATCTTCTAAATACTAAGAACCATAACATAATACTCCGTCTAGCAATTTTTGTAAACAAAATCATGTCCATGCGCTCTGTAAAATTTAATCTAAGTTGTCATTTTGTACTATTGGCCTCATGGCCACATCTATGAAATAAACCTGTCTGTCTGTCTGTCTGATATAGATTTTCTCCATATGAATCAGATGCTTTTCAATATGACAAACGAGTAACAGCTTGTGCCAAGAACTATTATGTCGCACTAACATCAGGGCAGCATCGGTAGGTGACATTGAACCGAGAGAATCAGTCCTAAACTCGGTTAGGTTATGATATTTAACCGACGAAATCAGCTCAACATCTGGATTGATCACACCTTTGGACGGTGAGAGTCAGCTCAACAACTGGAGTCATGCCATTGGACTGCGAGTACCAGTTCAACAGGTGGACAGGTATTAACATTGAGCCAACGAAATCAGTTTAACAACTGGGTGGATGATACCTTTGGACGGAGGGAATCAGCCCAACCACTGAACAAGTCATGCCACTGAACTGCAATTACCAGTCGAACAGATGTGCATGTTATACCATTGAACGAACGAAATCAGTTCAACAAGTGGGTGGGTGATACCTTTGGACGGAGGGAATGAGTCCAACAACTCAAGTCATACCACTTGACCCAGCAACTGTGCCGTTATATGATGCAAGCATTTTAGCAAATGTTTGGTATCACCAGCCTTGTTATTGGTGGATTATTGTTTACTGTGTTTTAAAATGATATACTGTCATCCATCATATATGTTTTCTACTGACAATACGTCATGATTGTTTCTTTGGTTACTTTTGCTACAATAAATCAAATAAATGTGAACTGTATGATGACAATCTGTAAATACCTGAGTTTGTAGCAGACAAACCAGTGATCGATATAATGAGCATCGATCAACACCAGGGGTGGTGATGGTGCAATGACACGCACTGTCTGTCTGTGATGACGGTACCCGTGAAGATTCGGGTTAGAATTGGTCTTCATCAACCTATGCTTGGTGTAAGAGGCGACTAACGGGATCAGGTGGTCAGGCTCGCTGGCTTGGTGGACACATGTCATCGTAGATCGATGTTCATGCTGTTGATCCCTGGATTGTCTGATCCAGACTCGATTATTTCCAGACCGTCACCATATAGCTGGAATATTGCTGAGTGCGACGTAAAACTAAACTCACTCACTTACTGTGATGACGAAGCGTTCTTCTACTAACATTGTGGCTGGTTGTGGTTGAAGCACTACCAACAACATCCACGACTGTTAATAACGAACACGTTTATACCGACCTGATGGATGTAACGATCTGTTTTGAGGGGTCCGGGCACTTACTGTATCTTTTAGTCGAAATGAGTGTAATGTACTACGGTTTAATATAGAGATATATATTTTTATACATTTATTTACATATATACATCTCTGTGCAATTCAGATGTTACATAGCAAATGGAAGCAAGCACAACGTAAGGTTGAAAGCAGAATCTGAATGGTCAATGAGGGTGATTTCGTCATTCTGTAGACGCCGTTTCAGGGCTAAAAGGGTCTCATCCCAATCGGACGTATTCCTTCTCTTTGAGGGTGGTTTGCCTCCGGCTGCAAATTGTTTCAATTTGTATTCAGTGGACATTTGTATTGACTTGAGGAATGTGATGGTTGAGCCTTTCTGGAGATTTTGTCCAGGCGACTAGGGTATCCTTCCAAGTTTGCCCGTGACCCGGTGGTTTGGTGGTTTGGTGGTGGGGTGCCTGTTGTTAGGTAGGTTGTTACCCTTCCTGGATCTCGGTATCAATTGTTTCGTCCGTTCCTTGTTTAACGCCTCACTCAACAATATTCCGGCTCTATGGCGGCAGTCTGAAAATAATCGAGTCTGGTCAAGACAATCCAGTGATCAACAACATGAACATCGATACCATGACATGTGTCAACCAAGTCAGCGAGCCTGACCACCCGATCCCATTAGTTCAAAAGATTGACTGCATTGAAGGCTATTAGAATGGTGGTATATTTTTCCTAATATCCCAATTGTCATACACGGGATGGAGGAGCGATTTTCGGAATTAACAAGAAGACAAAGTCAACAATATCCCCTGCAGTGGTAAAATACTCTTCATGACTATGTCAACTAATTATGACTATGACATTATGTTCTTGAATTAGAGTATTAAAAGTGAAATTAGAGTATTGAAAGTTTTTTAAATTCTAGGCCTAGATTTTCGAAGCTCTCTTACCGCTAAGATTGTCATAAATGCCATACATTAACAGTAACTTACGACTGTCTTAGCGATAAGAGAGCTTCGAAAATGTAGACCCAGTAAAGGAGCACTACCACCAACTTCAGTCAAAGCAAAAAATATTTTATTCAGAAATTCAAAATACCAAAAGACACCAGTTCCCCAGTGGACCCTGTTATGTGCAAGTTTGGTGAAGAAATATTTAACGGTTTTTATGTTCTGCTCCTAAAAAGACGAATTTGCTCGGACGGACGGACGCACGGACGCTCCAAAATAATACCCGTCGCAAAGCGCGTTTCAGGGGATACAAATGTTGTTTTTCCCCATAATTCCCAAATACAACATCTGAAAGACAGATGACATATATTTGGGGACGCCAGTACCTCTGCAGTCTGCAAGGTTCTCGAGCATGGTCTACGCCATCCCTTTAGATGCTGGCGATTGTTGGCAAATAATTATGGTAAATAAACTCATTTCTCATATTCATAACACACCCCTCCACATATCCTCCTAATGACTACTCATTGAAGGTATGGGCATTCAACCATTCCTCGATTCAAGCACCTGGCACTAACTGGATGCATCTCTTCTGATGATGTAAATATCAGAATAGTGTAACAGAATGCGACAGTTATGCTAACACAAAATGCCTAATTACCAGTGAAGTAATGATAAAGTAATCATGTTGCAATTTTCAACAATATAGTAAAGTGTGAGTATAACCCTGCGACACTGATGCCACAGGAGGTATGCCTCAGTGTAGGCAAACACAACCACTTTCTGTTAATGGCTAATTACATACAAGACGTGTCACTAATTGCATCAAAGTCATTACAGAGCAAATCAAATACATCATTAAACAGTGGATAGCAAATTGAATCATTATTATCTTCTTGGATAACGAGAGACTAACATGGACGTGAAAGAATATGTGACTGAAGAAGCACACAACGTAACATGAATGAGTTTGAATAACAGTGTAAAGAATATAATTGTTGGTAGACACAATTGGAAACATTTCTATTGAAGCCTGATCTTTGCTGACTGGTTCGTGTGGATACTAGTAGTTTCTGTTTTTGTCCTTCCAACATTAATCAATTCACAATAACGTTTTTTGTATGACACGATGTTTTCTGCCTCGGCCCAAACAGTTTCTGGTTTGTTTAGTCAACATTTTTTTGTACAATGTTACCAAGTTCGGGATAAGTCTCGGGTACAAAATATCCACCAGCAGACGAATGATCATTAATACTATACTTAACATTACCGTAAATCTCTAAATTCTCTGTTTTCAGGGGCGGTGGGGTAGCATAGTGGTTAAAGCGTTCGCTTGTCACGGCGAAGACCCAGGTTCGACTCCCCACAATATACACTATGTGAAGCCTATTTCTGGTTTCTCATCCGTGATAATGCTGGAGTGAGTGAGTTAGTGAGTTTAGTTTTATGCCACACAACGATATTCCAGCTATCTGGCTGCGGTCTGTGAATAACCGAATCTGGACCAGACAATCCAGTGATCAACAGCATGATCATCAATCTACACAATTGGGATACTGTGACGTGTGTCAACCAAGTCAGAGAGCCTGACCACCCGATCCCGTTAGTCGCCTTTTACAACAAGCAAGGGTTACTGATGATCAATGAAACAAACAAAACAACAGCTGAAACATCATTTAAATACACATCAACACAAAGAAATTTATGTCCAGTCTCAGCTGACAGAATATATAGAATGGTGTAACATGGATCAATTTCCTTAGGAACGTTAGATACATATTTGGAATTATGCTTTTATGGTTTTAAAAGTATAAAAAGCAATATATTTCAGAGCCATACTTTACAAATGGGTTAACAATTGCATCAAATAGTTCGGTTGACAGGAAATTGTTCGGATAAAATTATTTGCTTTGAGACTCCTACTAAATATGATACCTGTTCATTGATATATTGATATACAGTAGAACACGGATATAACGAACTCCAAGGGACCAAGAAATTTAGTTCGCTATATCCGTTGTTCGTTATTCACATTTGACCGCCATCTTGGATTGTAGAGATGTAGAGACATGTATAACTGAGGCTACAAATCTTTATTCTTGTACATGTACATTAAATATAAGAAACTACAGTTTTCAACATTTATACTATTTTTCCATGACTTCAATATTCACCGAAGTGTTTCTGTAGATCATCTTTACTTGTAGCTAATGTGAGGGTGTGTGATAATGCAAATAAATTCAAATACATACATAACTCTTCATCATTTACAATCACTCCTTCACATGTAAAATATCATTCAAGATCATTAAGAAATATAGAAAAAGTAGCGGGGATATATTATCTCCTTGTCTTACACCTTTAAGATAATAGATATATTGTGGGGCATAGCCTTTGATTTGATGCTGTTATACAAAGATTGAATAATCCTGTAACATTTACCACTAATTGTCAACTTCAGTGAGTTTGTTTACAATCCAAATCACCAAACATTATCAAAAGTTTTCTCAAAGTCCGTAAATGCACAAAAGATGACAGTAAGTATAAGTATATAATTGCAGGATGAATAACACTTTCTAAAGCAAACTTCATCAAACATGGACACTCGCATCAGTTACATCACTATGCAGGAAATATTGGTCACGCGATGATCATTGGACATCCACAGATATTGATTGTTATACAACCAGAAGGAGACCGCCACGGCAGTAACATTGATTGTGCAATCATCAAAGCTGGGTTTATAATTCAAGGCCTGTCCCCAGCCAGGCAATACGACATTGACAACCAGCATGTGAAGTTCTACAGTGGACGAGCTTCCAAACCATTATTGGCACCATGATTCCATTGTTGGCAGCGTCGTTTTTTCTAAGGTAAGATGTGATATATTTCCGATCACTGTTAACCGATGGTGTGGATCTTAGTCCGTATGTATTTTTATGTATGTATGTATGTATGTATGTATGTATGTATGTATGTATGTATGTATGTATGTATGTATGTATGTATGTATGTATGTATGTATGTATGTATGTATGTATGTATGTATGTATGTATGTATGTATGTATGTATGTATGTATGTATGTATGTATGTATGGATGGATGGATGGATGGATGGATGGATGTAGGCAGGCAGGCAGGCAGGCAGGGAGGGAGGGAGGGAGGTAGGTAGGTAGGTAGGGAGGGGTAGGGAGGAGAGGGAGGGACGGAGGCAGGTAGGTAGGTAGGCAGGTAGGGAGGGGGTAGGGAGGGTAGGTAGGTAGGGAGGGAGGGAGGGAGGTAGGGAGGGAGGGAGTGGTTAAGGTGTTTGCTCGTAACGACGCACACTCGGATTCGATTCCCATGTGAAGCCGTGTACTCCTGCCGTAATACTGCGAGAATATTGAAAAGTGACTTAAAACTACACTCACTCACATATGCGTGCTCCTAGCTTTCGCCAAACTTATAAACGTCTAAGGCCTGCATCGCTTAGAGTTTTCTCTCCCACACCAACCTAAGACGCTTTATATTATAGTCAAACATTGGTCAAAACAGCATCAAACATTGTTAACTCACTGTTGTAATTCATTCTAGTACTCAAGCACCACCAGTACTTTGGAGTTCATGATATTCAAATACTTTACCTCTGCTTCTTTCATTCCTCAGCTCCATGACAGGAAGAACGTTGATGGCGGGGGCGGCCACAGGTACGTGTCCTGCACAACATTGCAACGTTCATTGTTGACACCCGCCTGGGGATTCTGTCTTAAATAATGTTGCTTCCTTGCAACTAACGGGATCGGGTGGTAAGGCTCGCTGGCCTGGTTGACACATGTCATCGTATCCCAATTACGTAGATCGAAGTTCATGCTGTTGATCCCTAGATTGTCTGGTCGAGACTCAATTATTTACAGACCGCCGCCATACAGCTGGAATATTGCTGAGTGCGGCGTTAAACAACAAGCAAACAAACGTACTGGGTATGAATAGCGTGTTAGAGTGAAGTGTATCTAGTGTTCGTCACCCAGTGAAATGACTCCGTTTCTGAAGGCGTCAAATCTATGCCAAGTCCATGCTGCTGGATAGGGAGTCAATTGTTGAGTAGAAACCACAACGCTGGCACGTAATGTATGAGAAATATAGTCCTCTAGGGGATACAAATGTCCTCTTGGTTTTTCGCGCGATGGAACCATCTACTGGTTAAAATTGCTACAATGTGTATTCACGGTAGACGAAGACAGGCAGTGTTAAAAACCTGTGAAGTTAATTGCTTCAATCGAACGTTTTTCCCTTTGTGCATGCCGCTGTGGCCTTCAAAATATGTTTCAGTTGTTGAACTATGACGGTTCTAATTCCAGATTGTGGATCTCATAAGCGGGATGTCCTTTTCATGGTCGACAATACAAGCATGAACAGATCGGAGTTCGCCCTCTTGAAACAGGCGTTGGCTGATATAGTTGATACCTTCACGATCAGCCCCGATAACTTCCGGGTTAGTGTTACCACGTATCCTGACGTAGTATTCCTCCTATGGACTTCGTACCTGAATAACAAATCAGAATTAAAGCAAGGTATTTTGAATCTTGCCCTAAAATCACAAAATCCTCCCTTATCCCCAAAGAATGCAATTGATATGGCAAGATTTTATGTGTTTGGAGGAGGAGATCGAGCTGATGCGTCTAATGTGGTTCTTCTATTCGCCGGCAATGAGCTGTACGTAACGGATGAGGATGTTTCGAAAAGCAACGATTTGAAAGAGGACAAGAAGGTGGAATGGTTTTGTCTCGGAGTGAAGAATGCGAATGTTTCTCAGCTGAATCAGTTTGCAAGCCTTCCATCATCCGATCACGTGTTCTTCTCTGACACTTATTCCGACCTTGGGACCCTGGTTCCGGAACTTGCACAGATTGCATGTACGTCAAAATGTCATACTTCAGTTTTTTTAAGTTGCCAAACTCTCGATGTGTATACCCGTGAAGGTCCGCGTAAGAATGAACCTTCAGTAACATATGCCTGTCTTAAGAGGCGACTAACGGGATCTGGTGGTCTGGCTCGCTGACTTGGTTGACACATGTCATCGGCTCCCAATTGCGCAGCTGTTGATCACTGGATTGTCTGGTCCAGACTCGATTATTTACAAACCGCCGCAATATAGCTGGAATATTGCTGAGTGCGGCGTAAAACTAAACCCACTCACTCACTCTCGATGTGTAGGGCTCCAGTTTGATGTTTAGTGGTCTATTACTCACTCATTTAATACACATGACACTTATAACATATGGGGTGGTGGGGTAGCCTCTTGCTTACAGCATTCGTCATGCCGGGTTAGATTCCCACATGCGTAAAATGTTTGTGTCCCCCTGTGACATTGCTGGAATATTACTAAAAGCGGCGTTGAATCGCACGCACTCACGCACTCGCGCTCTCAGGTGTGAGGCGAAGCTCTGTATATGCGATCAACAGATGTCAGATGGTGAAAGTGGAGTTCAAGGCTTCTCTTTGGCGGATTATGAGAGCGTCACATGAGAGTTAACGTTTTTGTTGTTAACGGTCATTAAGTTTATATTAGATATTCACACAGAATTATTTAGTTAAGTTTAATTTGAAGACCAATGAATACGAGATCTGCTTGGGCATTTCTTTTCGAGAAACAAAAGTTCATAGTCAAGTGTTGTATTTCCAGGTGACAAGTGTAGCATGACGCCATGTCAGGGGAGTCAGATCTGTGACCTATCGACGAACACGTGCATCGATCAAACCCCACAGGGTAAGAATGATAATGATAATAACCATAACAATCTCCATATTCTCCGTAAATGTCTAGGTGGGTTCGACCAGGTAGCGCTTCCTGTGAGAAGTCCCATTCCCAGTCTGGTCCGCGTGTGGCCTGAGCTGATGATGAACCTTACCAGCCTGACTGTGTCCGGCCACGGGACGGTGGGGTAGTCTAGTGGTTAAAGCGTTCGTTCGTCACGCCGAAGACCCGGATTAGATTCCCAAATGGGTACAATCCGTGACGCCCATTTCTTGTGTTCCCCACCGTGATATTGCTGGAATATTGCTAAAAGCAGCGTAAAACTGAACTCACTCACTCGTGTCCGAACGCCTTTGCTGCATATATGTATACTCGGCGTCATTAATGAAGGGTCAAACTATTGGTAACAATATTTCTTAAAATCTTCATTTTGTTTGAAATATACACAGCTGAATCTTTTACAAAGTTAACAGTATGGAAAAAAAACACATCAGGCTGTTGAAATGTCATTATTACGTTCTTTAAAGGTCACATGCAACGTAAAACACACCTTTGCAGATTCTGATACCTTTCGGTATGGACATACCGAAACAAATTGTCAAAAATGCAAATTCAACTTATAAAGACAAAACCTTTTAATGTTAACAATGTAATGATATCCAGCCTGCAGTTCGTCCAACACCACGTCACAAGCAGGAGCGTTTAAGATGGAGTAGACATCATAGCCGCTAGAATCAACGTCACTGGGCTCGTGTGCTCTTCACAGATGGAAGTAGATTCTATTTGTCCTTCCATGATGGTCGGCAGAGGATTTATCGTCGCAATGGAGAGCGAATTACAGATGCAACTGTCGCCATGCATAACAGATTTATGCATAACCGATCGGTCACGGTTTGGCCAGGGATAACTCCTACTGGACGTACTCCACTGCACGTGGTCGATGGTAATCGTACCGTTCAGTGCTATTGGGACGAGTTTCTGGTTCCTATAGCAATACCATTCCTGCAAGCTATGCATGGTTTTTATGGTCGACCCTCTTTACCGCAAGGCGAGAACGCTTGGCCTAATAGGGCCAGGATTGTCACGAAATTCCTTAGGCAGCAGGATGTAGAGACACGTCACCCAGCACCAGTGGATCTCTCCATTACTCCGTAGAGCTCTAGTAGAAGAATGGAATGCGATTCCGCAAGCTTTCTTTATAAACTTGATTAGGAGCATGAGAACACGGTGCACCTGTGTCTTGGACCCGCGAGGAGGGTACACAAGATTTTGAATCTTTGCTTCATGTTCGAGAGCTTCATGTTTGCCATTTTCATTTGGTCTATACAACTGATGTTTGCTAGTAATGTTTGAACTTTTTGTCTGCATGTCACGGTGTGTCACGTTTGTCCACACATTAAACATTATGATGACACTTTTAGTTCTATTATTTCTGAGAAACTTTTCTTTACATGTGCTGTAGACCATTTGACCCTTTATTACTGACGCCTAGTATATTTTGACCTGTAAATACCAAACGTGAGGATTCGAACATAGAGTCAGCAAAGTCTCGGGGCCCGAACAGTGATCCACTGATCGCCTTTTGCGACCAGCAACAGTTTCAGCGGGATGTACCCAATTATGGAATAGTACTGTAATATCCAGGACCATTATCGGGGGGAATACCCTGGTATAAAGATGGAAATATCTTAATAAGCTAGCCTGATCTCAAACACTATATTTAATCCAATATAAACTTACTTCAGTGTTACTATATTTTCATGATTTGTATCACTGATTTACCACTTTTATAAAACTGCGCTTTCAGGTCTAAATTCTGATTTATTTTATTCTATTTAAAAGTTACAGCCCCTAGGAAGGAGTGTCCCATGAATCTTTACGAGCGACAGTCTTATCGAATCAGTGGGTGCCCCGTCGTCATGACAACCTTTGCGGAGTCACCTATTGTTTGCGCTGTTCACTGCCGTTCGACTGAAGGATGCACGAATTTCAATATGGCGCGGGAAGCAGACATCTTGAACAATTGCCAATTGCTGACATGCACGGATACAGACATGTTGACCGAATCTGGAGATCATGACTTCTACATACCGACTTGTGTTCCATGACGTCACAGTCCATTAATGTTACCAAAATATGGTATTGTTTGTGTCATTAACAGTATAATGGCAGGTCTATAAAATTAATATTGTTCGTCAAGTGATTTATTTATCCTTCTGAGACGCTGCTAGAGATCAAACGCTCTTGCCTGATCTTTATACTGCAAAAATGTACCCTTGGTTGACCACACGAAGCATTCGTAGCTACTCGTGTCATTCCGGCAAGCCGGATGGCGTCTTCTTGTAGGTCACGGAAAGAGGCGAGTAGTTACAAGTGGTCACGAAGCTGTTCAGTTACCTTTCCGTGATCTCAAGCGTGCTCGTGCTTTAACTATGACACTTGAAGGAAAACTGTTCTTTAGTACACTTGACACGGACAGAGCAAACGCTGTATATATTTTTCCTAATGATGCTTTTCAATATGACAAACGAGTAACAACTTGTGCCAAGATCTATCATGTTGCACTTACAACAGGGCGGGGTCGGCAGGTGACACTGAACCGAGAGAATCAGTCCTACAGTTGGTTAGGTTATAACATTGAACCGAGAAAATCATTCCTACGGTCGGTTAGGTTATAACATTGAACCGAGAGAATCAGTCCTACGGTCGATTAGGTTATAAGATTGAACAGAGAGAATCAGTCCTACGGTCGGTTAGGTTATAACATTGAGCCGAGAGAATCAGTCCTACTGTCGGTTAGGTTATAACATCGAACCGAGGGAATCAGTCCTACGGTCGGTTAGGTTATAACATTGAACAGAGAGAATCAGTCCTACGGTCGGTTAGGTTATAACATTAAACAGAGTGAATCACTCCTATGGTCGGTTAGGTTATAACATTGAACAGAGAGAATCAGTCCTACAGTCGGGTAAGTTATAACATTGATCCGGGAGAATCACTCCAATGGTCGGTTAGGTTATAACATTGAACCAAGAGAATCAGTCCTACAGTAGGTTAGGTAATAACATTGAACCGAGAGAATCAGTCCTACAGTCGTTGAGGTTATAACATTGAACGGAGAGAATCAGTCCTAGTCTGTTAGGTTATAACATTGAACGGAGAGAATCAGTCCTACAGTCGTTGAGGTTATAACATTGAACCGAGAGAATCAGTCCTACAGTCGTTGAGGTTATAACATTGAACCGACAGAATCAGTACTATTGTCGGTTTGGTTATAAGATTGAACCGACAGAATCAGTCCTACAGTCGGTTAGGTTATAACATTGAACCGAGAGACTCAGTCGTATGGCCGGTTAGGTTATAACATTGAACACGGAGAGTCAGTCCTACAGTCGGTTAGGTTATATCATTGAAACGGGAGAATCAATCCTATGGTCGGCTAGATTGTAACATTGAACAGAGGAATCAGTCCTACAGTCGGTTAGGGTTATAAGATTGAACAGAGAGAATCAGTGCTACGGTCGGTTAGGTTATAAGATTGAACAGAGAGAATCAGTCCTACGGTCGGTTAGGTTATAAGATTGAACAGAGAGAATCAGTGCTACGGTCGGTTAGGTTATAAGATTGAACAGAGAGAATCAGTCCTACGGTCGATTAGGTTATAAGATTGAACAGAGAGAATCAGTCCTACGGTCGGTTAGGTTATAACATTGAACCGAGAGAATCAGTCCTACAGTCGCTTAGGTTATAAAATCGAACCGAGAGAATCAGTCCTACGGTCGGTTAGGTTATAAGATTGAACAGAGAGAATCGGTCCTACAGTAGGTTAGGTTATAACATTGAACCGAGTGAATCAGTCCTACGGTCGGATAGGTTATAACATTGAACCAAGAGAATCAGTCCTACAGTAGGTTAGGGTATAACATTGAACCGAGAGAATCAGTGCTACAGTCGATTAGGTTATAAGATTGAACAGGGAGAATCAGTCCTACGGTCGGTTAGGTTATAACATTGAACCGAGGGAATCAGTCCTACAGTCGGTTAGGTTATAATATCGAACCGAGAGAATCAGTCCTATGGTCGGTTAGGTTATAACATTGAACGGAGAGAATCAGTCCTACAGTAGGTTAGGTTATAAGATTGAACAGAGAGAATCGGTCCTACAGTAGGTTAGATTATAACATTGAACCGAGTGAATCCCTCCCTTCAGTCGGTTAGGTAATAACATTGATCCGGGAGAATCACTCCTATGGTCGGTTAGGGTTATAACATTGAACCAAGAGAATCAGTCCTACAGTAGGTTAGGTTATAACATTGAACAGAGAGAATCAGTCCTACGGTCGGTTAGGTTATAACATTGAGCCGAGAGAATCAGTCCTACAGTCGGTAAGGGTTTTAACATCGAACCGAGGGAATCAGTCCTACGGTCGGTTAGGTTATAACATTGAACAGAGAGAATCAGTCCTACGGTCGGTTAAGTTATTACATTAAACCGAGTGAATCACTCCTATGGTCGGTTAGGTTATAACATTGAACAGAGAGAATCAGTCCTACAGTCATTGGGTAAGTTATAACATTGATCCGGGAGAATCACTCCTATGGTCGGTTAGGTTATAACATTGAACCGAGAGAATCAGTCCTACAGTCGTTGAGGTTATAACATTGAACGGAGAGAATCAGTCCTAGTCTGTTAGGTTATAACATTGAACGGAGAGAATCAGTCCTACAGTCGTTGAGGTTATAACATTGAACCGAGAGAATCAGTCCTACAGTCGTTGAGGTTATAACATTGAACCGACAGAATCAGTCCTAGTCGGTTAGGTTATAAGATTGAACCGAGAGAATCAGTACTATTGTCGGTTTGGTTATAAGATTGAACCGACAGAATCAGTCCTACAGTCGGTTAGGTTATAACATTGAACGGAGAGACTCAGTCGTATGGCCGGTTAGGTTATAACATTGAACACGGAGAGTCAGTCCTACAGTCGGTTAGGTTATATCATTGAAACGGGAGAATCAATCCTATGGTCGGCTAGATTGTAACATTGAACAGAGAGAATCAGCGCTACGGTCGGTTAGGTTATAAGATTGAACAGAGAGAATCAGTCCTACGGTCGATTAGGGTTATAAGATTGAACAGAGAGAATCAGTCCTACGGTCGGTTAGGTTATAACATTGAACCGAGAGAATCAGTCCTACAGTCGCTTAGGTTATAACATCGAACCGAGAGAATCAGTCCTACGGTCGGTTAGGTTATAACATTGAACAGAGAGAATCAGTCCTACAGTCTAATACATGTTATAACATTGAACCAAGAGAATCAGTGCTACAGTCGATTAGGTTATAAGATTGAACAGAGAGAATCAGTCCTACGGTCGGTTAGGTTATAACATTGAACCGAGGGAATCAGTCCTACAGTCGGTTAGGTTATAATATCGAACCGAGAGAATCAGTCCTACGGTCGGTTAGGTTATAAGATTGAACAGAGAGAATCAGTCCTACAGTAGGTTAAGTTATAACATTGAACCGAGAGAATCAGTCCTATGGTCGGTTAGGTTATAACATTGAACGGAGAGAATCAGTCCTACAGTAGGTTATGTTATAACATTGAACCGAGAGAATCAGTGCTACAGTCGATTAGGTTATAAGATTGAACAGAGAGAATCGGTCCTACAGTAGGTTAGGTTATAACATTGAACCGAGTGAATCCCTCCTTCAGTCGGTTAGGTAATAACATTGATCCGGGAGAATCACTCCTATGGTCGGTTAGGTTATAACATTGAACCAAGAGAATCAGTCCTACAGTAGGTTAGGTAATAACATTGAACCGAGAGAATCAGTCCTACAGTAGGTTAGGTTATAACATTGAACGAGAGAATCAGTCCTACAGTCGTTGAGGTTATAACATTGAACGGAGAGAATCAGTCCTACGGTCGGTTAGGTTATAACATTGAACCGAGAGAATCAGTCCTATGGTCGGTTAGGTTATAACATTGAACAGAGAGAATCAGTCCTACAGTCGGTTAGGTTATAACATTGAACCGAGAGAATCAGTCCTATGGTCGGTTAGGTTATAACATTGAACCAAGAGAATCAGTCCTACAGTCAGGTTAGGTTAGAACATTGAACCGAGAGAATCAGTGCTACAGTCGGTTAGGTTATAACATTGAACCAAGAGAATCAGTCCTACAGTAGGTTAGGTAATAACATTGAACCGAGAGAATCAGTCCTACAGTCGTTGAGGTTATAACATTGAACGGAGAGAATCAGTCCTAGTCTGTTAGGTTATAACATTGAACGGAGAGAATCAGTCCTACAGTCGTTGAGGTTATAACATTGAACCGAGAGAATCAGTCCTACAGTCGTTGAGGTTATAACATTGAACCGACAGAATCAGTCCTAGTCGGTTAGGTTATAAGATTGAACCGAGAGAATCAGTACTATTGTCGGTTTGGTTATAAGATTGAACCGACAGAATCAGTCCTACAGTCGGTTAGGTTATAAGATTGAACCGAGAGACTCAGTCGTATGGCCGGTTAGGTTATAAAATTGAACACGGAGAGTCAGTCCTACAGTCGGTTAGGTTATATCATTGAAACGGGAGAATCAATCCTATGGTCGGCTAGATTGTAACATTGAACAGAGGAATCAGTCCTACGGTCGGTTAGGTTATAACATTGAACAGAGAGAATCAGTGCTACGGTCGGTTAGGTTATAAGATTGAACAGAGAGAATCAGTCCTACGGTCGATTAGGTTATAAGATTGAACAGAGAGAATCAGTCCTATGGTCGGTTAGGTTATAACATTGAACCGAGAGAATCAGTCCTACAGTCGGTTAGGTTATAACATCGAACCGAGAGAATCAGTCCTACAGTCGGTTAGGTTATAACATTGAACAGAGAGAATCAGTCCTACAGTCTAATAGGTTATAACATTGAACCAAGAGAATCAGTGCTACAGTCGATTAGGTTATAAGATTGAACAGAGAGAATCAGTCCTACGGTCGGTTAGGTTATAACATTGAACGTAGGGAATCAGTCCTACAGTCGGTTAGGTTATAATATCGAACCGAGAGAATCAGTCCTACGGTCGGTTAGGTTATAAGATTGAACAGAGAGAATCGGTCCTACAGTAGGTTAGGTTATAACATTGAACCGAGTGAATCCCTCCTTCAGTCGGTTAGGTAATAACATTGATCCGGGAGAATCACTCCTATGGTCGGTTAGGTTATAACATTGAACCAAGAGAATCAGTCCTACAGTAGGTTAGGTAATAACATTGAACCGAGAGAATCAGTCCTACAGTAGGTTAGGTTATAACATTGAACGAGAGAATCAGTCCTACAGTCGTTGAGGTTATAACATTGAACGGAGCGAATCAGTCCTACGGTCGGTTAGGTTATAACATTGAACCGAGAGAATCAGTCCTACGGTCGGTTAGGTTATAACATTGAACGACAGAATCTGTCCTATGGTTGGTTATATTATAACATTGAACTGAGAGAATCGGTCCTACAGTCGGGGGTTATAACATTGAACTGACAGAATCAGTCCTAGTCGGTTAGGTTATAAGATTGAACCGAGAGAATCAGTCCTACGGTCGGTTAAGTGATAACATTGAACCGAGGGAATCAGTCGTATGGTCGGTGAGGTTATAACATTGAACAGAGAGACTCAGTCGTATGGTCGGTTAGGTTATAACATTGAACACGGAGAATCATTCCTATGGTCGGCTAGATTGTAACATTGAACCGAA